GTCTGGTCCCTCTCAATTCACTTCCCTTATCTTAGGCCTTCCATGGTTGTTCCACAGTGGGATTCTGAGGGCAGCTGGTGTGTAACTATCACCAAGGTCTTCCATGATAGAGAAGGAGGACAAAGGCCCTCCTCCCCCAGGAGGGCTAGTAACACTCTGACTCACTTATCAGAGTGCAGTTCTCCCACATTGTGTGAACCAAAACCTAACAGAAACTAAACCATTTGCCATGAAATCAACCCCAACTCATAGAAACCCTATAGGACAGAACTACTCTGTAGAGTTTCTAAGACTGTACATCTTTATGGCAGCAGACTGCCACATCTTTCTCCTATGGAGTGGCTGGTGGGTTTGAACCACTCACCTTTCAGTTACCAGTCAGGCATTTTAACTGCTGCACCACTAAGTTCCTTTTCCATGTGTGAAAGACTCTTAAAATGTCCTTGTCGTAAGGGACTGTGGGACCTTGGGCACGTCTCCAATCTGGTCCTCAGCTTCTCTATATGTAAAATGAGATGGATCTCATGACTTCTAAAGCAGCACTTTTCATTTCTGGCATCTGATGACCATCAACACACCCATTCATTCAATCAAGGGATCTATACTACACAGAATTAACAGTGAATGGGAGACCAGGTGTCTGCCTTCAGTGAGCTTTCTCTCTTACAGAGGACTTGCAGTTTAAACACATATAAGTAAATAAATAATGATAACATGTATAAATGAAAAAATAATTACAGGTTATGTATGGTAAGAGCTATGAAGCAAAACCAGAGAGGCCTGTGAAGTCAATTAATGAGGAGAAACTACCGTAGATTTGGTGGTCTCAGAAGGCCTTCTCTGATGTGGTGAAGTTTAATAGAAACCTGATGAGCAAGAAGGAACCAACCACACTAGGAGGATCATTACTCTCTGATTTGTGTGTTTTGCAAGAGGGGCATGGGGTGGGATCATCTAGGGCTGAGGCTGGTGGCTCAGTGGTCTTTGCTTGGGTGAAGGTTGTGGATAGGTCGTGGAGAAGCACAGTGACACCCTCTCCTCCAGGAAGCCCTCCTTGACTCCAGCAGTAAAGTTGGTGATGCTCCCCTTTGTTCGTTGAACCCTGGAGGTGTGTGTGTGCGCTTCTAGAGACAGGTACCTTCCAGCCTCTGGTTGACCTACTAAATTCAAAACTAAATTCTTCAGCATGATAATGATGGTGTAAGAGAGAGATTCAATTGCAAAAGGAGGTATCTAAGTTAGACTAGAAGAATAGCTTTAGTATCACGCTGGTTAGGAATATACAAGGCTGCAGAAGGGGACTACGGTTTTCCATGTTTTATAGGCTGCATGCTGCCTAGGATCCTGCAGCCTTGCTTGGTGATGGGTGGGGGTGAGGGGAGCTGCGGTGGGGATTCCCTGGAGATGTTTCAACCAAAAATGATAGCTGTTTGTCCTCAGCAATAGATGGCCCTGACAATGTGTAAGTTGTAAGTTGTGCTATGACAGTTGTGTCATAGCAGAATTCATCCAGGTTAGCACGTGGAAGGAAAAGGAAGTTTGAATGAGGCATACAAAGGGAATATAGACAGGAACCTACTCACTGTTAACCAAAAGGTTGGACATTTGGGCAGAGGCATTGTGAAAGAAAGACCTGGCTATCTACTTCCTAAAAAGCAGCCACTGAAAACGTTATGGAACACAGTTCTACTCAGAAACACATGGGGTTGCCATGAATTGAAATAGTCTTGATGTCAATTTGTAACTTGTATTCCACGGAGAGCAAAATCATCCTGTCTACAAAGTCCTTTTGGGGGTCCTTTTGTGGGGCTCTCTTGTCTTTTGGCTTTTTTTCCAGCTGCCTTGTTTTGGGCCTCTTTCTCTTTCTCTTTCCCATCCCACTCCCCTGGGCCCTCCTATCTGGGGAAAGATGGTCAAATATTTTAAACTTGGAAGCCTGTTGGGAACAGTGGAGCCTAGAGAGGGCAACACTTATTCCAAGTGATTTCAGGCACGAAGGGAGGCCACAGAGAGGATCATCTGGAAGGAGTGAGGCCTACAATCTCACCTCTGCTTGGCAGAAGGGCAGTCCTAGGTGATCATACCATCTCTGTGAGCTTGGGTGTCTCAGAAGCCCAGCCAGAGAAACTGAAGCCCCACTGTTTCCTCTCCGAAACTTTCTGCCATCTAGTTTTGATCCATGCTCCCCATCACAGCCTGCCTGCCTTCCTGCCCCCTCTCCACCCAGCACAAGGGGGAGGTAGGTCCAGAGCAGGATCTCCCTGGCCAACATGTGTTAGGGCAGCTCAGAGTTGGAGCCAGTGAGGATGTGCTAAAAAAAAAAAAAAAAAAAAAAAAAGCAGGCCTAACATTTGGACTTCTCCCTGAGGGGTTACAGTCTGATAAATGTTTCATAGGCTTTGGCCTTCTCAGCTTTTCACTGAAACACACAATCTCACACTCAGAAAAACACGCATACAGGCAGAAACAGAGACAAATACTCACATACATATACGCCCAAACACACACCAAACTCACACATACACAAAGACACAGGATGCCATACTTACTCTCAACAAACACAGAGAAAAGCACAAACACATAAAGACACAGGGTCTCATACCCAAACCTGATACACATGCACACAAGATACAGGGTCTTACAATCACACACAAAGAAACACAGAGGCACACCGATACACAGACACACACATTCACACATTTCCAAACAAACACAAACTCACACACAGAGAAAGACAAATGGTCTCAAACCCATATGTAAACACACATACACACACAAACATACAAACACACACACAAAGATACAGGGTCTCAGCTCTGAAAGGGATCACAATAAGAGGTCCCAGATAGAGTAGGGAAAAATGTGGAACAAAACTCAAAATCATAAAAAAGATCAGTCTTACCGGTCTGATGCGGACTGGTGGAATCTCTGAGATTATGACCCTTAGACACCCTTCAAGCTAGAAACTGAACTAAACTCCCATGACTCAACAGGCAGCCAAATGATAGACAGGCCTAGAAGGTGAACAGTAATATCAGGAGGTGGTGCACTTATTACAACAATCAAGCATATGAGATCAAGAGGACAGCATTGACCCAGGGATAGAGCTAGCAAGGCAGGAGGGGATGGAAGGAAGAACAAAGAGAAGGGGTGGGCATAGGGAGGAAGTGGGAAGAATGCTGTTACAGTGTAGGGATTACAGTAAGTGTCATGAAACAGAATGTGTATGGATTATTGAATAGACAACTAATTTGCTCTGTAAACTTTCACCTAAATCATACACAAACAAAAGATACAGGGTCTTACAAACACACAACAAATGCAGAAAGACACACACAGACACAGACACAGGTTTCTCACTGATAGCCATACAAACACACACGAAGACAAACACTCACATCTACACATGAACATGCACACTTAAACATTCCCAAACCCATACCCAGAAAAACAAATGGTCTTATACTCACATCCACAAACACAAACTCTTCTGCACATAGATACATACTCACCCTCACAAGCTCAGACATGCACATGCATGTGCTCACACGATCACCCACACTCTCCCTCACTGGCCACACAGCCCCAACCTGGAGAACTGGAGCCCCTTTTTTCTTGTTTAAAGTGAAGTCAGAAGTCTCGTGTTTCCTGCATGAGATTCGTTTCTCATCCATCCTTCCCTCCCCCCAAAAAACTCCTTATGGCCCCATCTTTTCTTGGATTCTGTCCAGACAGTGCTGTGTCTTTAAGGAAGTTGAAGCTGCTAAAAGTGAGTGAGAGGGAGAGAAAAAACACAACCCAAAAAAATTTGGCATCTTTTCCCCTCAAGTTTCTGGTGTCACTTATGAAACACAGGTCCTTGTTGCTGCAGAGAAGCGGTTGTTTGGCTGAAGGAGGGAGTGTGCTGGCTGCCCCGGGCTCCCTCCCTGCAGCCTTCAATCAGGGAACAGTCCTAAGCACCCTGTCACTGGCAGGGTGGGCTCACGCATGAACATTGAAGGTGGGGCAGGGACGAGGCCACCCCTTCCTCTTGTATCCTTGTCCTCCCTTGGGCAACCCCTGGCCTGTAGACTCTCTTGGGAAAACTTGGTGTTTTGTTGTTTTCTGGTTCCCTCTAGAAGAAGTTCTTCTTGACCAAGGAAGACTAGTTTGAAGGTAAGCTGGGGCAGTTGCGGGGTGGGAGGAGGGAAGGAGAGAGAGGAGGAAGGCCCCAAGGGCCAGTGGGAGGAGGAAGGGGCGTGCTGGACACAGGGGTGACCCCCACTCGTACTTCCCTTTTGGGTTGAGATGCTTAGGACAATCCCTTGCTTGGAGCTGTCAAAGGGAACTCAGCCAGAACAACTGCAGGACCCCCCAGAAATCCCAGTGCTATTGAGGCTGAACTGCTGGCCCTAGCCAGCTGAGAAGACCTGGCAGGGGTTTATTTAGGCAGCTGCCTGGCGTCATTTTAACTGAAAAGGCCACGGGTGTGATTCTGTAGAAAGGGTCTGTGTCTGCTGTGGTCATGGCCAGAGAGGAGCGGGAGAGGGCGGGTGGGGCAGAGGGGGTGGTGTGCACTGTACAAGGGGCCTTGTCTGGGCTGGGGCAGAACATACCTATGGGGGGCTCCGGTGGGAGGGGCCGTGGCCAGGATGTGGGAGGGCAGGAGGGAGGTTCTGCAAAGTGCTGGGGTAGGGGCAGCTGGAAAACAGATTTCAAGTCATAAAGTCAGCTAAGAACGGGTTGAGACAGAGAGAGCTCTCTGCGTGGAGGAGGAATTGAGGTCTTTGTCCATCCTGCCTTCACTCTGCCTGGCTGTGGAACCTGGGCAAGTTCTGGCCCCTCCCAGGGCCTCAGTTTCCTTTTGTGTAAAACTTGGGGGGTGGTGCCATTTGGGCCTTAGCCATGTTGTGTGGGGCAGGGCTTCCTGGTGGGGTAGGGCTCAGAGGTTCTGGGAGGGATGAACCCCTCTCCTGGACCCTCAGTCACCCAGTGACACGCCCTTCTCTGCAGGAGGTACAATGCAGGAGCTGTGTCTGCTGTGTTGGGCCATTCTCCTGGGCCTGGGGCAGGCCTGTCCCGAGCCCTGTGACTGTGGGGAGAAGTACGGCTTCCAGATCGCTGACTGTGCCTATCGAGACCTGGAGGCTGTGCCACCTGGCTTCCCAGCCAACGTGACCACGTTAAGTCTGTCTGCCAATCGTCTTCCTGGCTTGCCAGGGGGCGCCTTTGAGGAGGTGCCCCTGCTGCAGTCACTGTGGCTAGCGCACAATGAGATTCGCACGGTTGCTGCCGGTGCGCTGGCCACTCTAGGCCAGCTCAAGAGCCTGGACCTCAGTCACAACCTCATCTCTGACTTTGCCTGGAGCGACCTGCACAATCTCAGCGCCCTGCAGTTGCTCAAGATGGACAGCAACGAGCTGGCCTTCATCCCTCAAGATGCCTTCCGCAGCCTGCGCGCCCTGCGCTCCCTGCAGCTCAACCACAACCGCTTGCACACGCTGACCGAAGGCACTTTCACGCCTCTCACCGCTCTGTCCCACTTGCAGATCAATGATAACCCATTTGATTGCACCTGCGGCATTGTGTGGCTCAAGACATGGGCCCTGGCCACTGCTGTGTCCATCCCGGAGCAGGACAACATCGCCTGCACTTCACCACATGTGCTCAAGGGTACGCCACTGAGCCGCCTGCCGCCCCTGCCATGTTCGGCACCCTCAGTGCAGCTCACCTACCAGCCCAGCCAGGACGGAGCAGAGCTACGGGCTGGCTTCGTGCTGGCACTCCACTGTGATGTGGATGGACAACCAGCACCCCAGCTGCACTGGCACATTCAGACACCCGGGGGCACCGTGGAGATTGCCAGTCCCAATGTGGGTGCAGATGGGCGTGCCCCGCCTGGAGCCCCAACAACCAGAGGCAGGCCCCGCTTCCAGGCTTTTGCCAACGGCAGCCTGCTCATCCCCGACTTTGGCAAGCTGGAGGAGGGCACCTATAGCTGCCTGGCCACCAATGAGCTGGGCAGTGCTGAAAGCTCAGTGAATGTAGCGCTGGCCACACCAGGTGAGGGTGGGGAGGATGCACTGGGACGCAGGTTCCACGGCAAGGCAGTGGAGGGCAAGGGCTGCTACACCGTTGACAATGAGGTGCAGCCTTCTGGGCCCGAGGACAATGTTGTCATCATCTACCTCAGCCGGGCTGGGAGCCCCGAGGCAGCAGTCACAGCAGCCGGGGTCTCTGGGCAGCAGCCCCCAGGTCTATTCTTGCTGGGCCAGAGCCTCTTCCTCCTCTTCCTCGCCTCCTTCTAGCCTCACCCCTGACCAGGGCTGGACAGGAACAGCCCAGGGCCTCCCCAACTCCTCCCCTGGCCCTGACAATGCTCCTTGTAAATGTCCAGGGACCTGAGGCTGGCAACTCCTGAGGTCTGTGAAGGCAACTTCCTATCTTCCTACCTCCCTTTCTGATCTCTCCCAGAACACCCACCACCCCCAACTTTTAGATCTGCTCAAAGCTAGTGACTAGGACTGACTTTGATCCTATAACTCACCGTCTGTGGTGCTAATTGCTGCTAACAACATTGCCCTGCTCCCCTATCAAGGCAGCATGCTGACAGGGCGATGCCTTCACCTAACTGGATGAAGAAGCCTCAGTGGTGGATCCCAGGCACTGAGACTGGCGAGCTGGCAGGAGGTTACTGCAGCAGACAGGGCACAGGAGAGCAGGAATGGAGGGGAAGTGCAGTGACTTGCTCCAGCTCTGTGGGCATCTCTGCTCTCAGCTTAGACTGGACAGGAGGACCATGATGGCCTTCTTCTCTCAGTCCACGCTTTTCCACCCTGGGCACTTGCCTCTCTCTTCCAAGCACGCATCTGTAGCCTGCCCCTCCGAAGAGGCCAGCAAGCCTGGGGCGGTCAAGAAATAAACAGCATTTTTGATGCTCCCCGTGTTGGCTTGGAGTTGTATCTGGACCTAAGGGTCCTCCAGCAGGGGTGGGATTGGGAGCTGGAGAGTTGAGCAGTTAGCCTGCTATCCACACATGGGCCAGCGACCCATGACACATATGCCCCCTGCAGGGCAGGCAGCATGGGAGTAGGGCTACTGGTCAGCTAGGGGCTAGACTCCTAGGAACTGAGCTGTGACATTTCCTCTCCCTGAACTAGGACAAATGTGGGGCAGGAAGCCTGAAAACCATTACAGGGGCTTCCCTGGGGTCTGGGGCTGCTCTGAGTGGGGCTCTAGTCCAGCAGTGGCTGAAGGGGCATTTTGGAGGGCCCCTTGCCCTGCTCCTGGAAGCGGTTAGTAATGGAGAGGAAGGGAATGGAAGCAAGCAAGGGGAGAAGAGAGATGGGAGAAGGTAGGGACAGGGATGTGGAACAAGGGAAAGAGAGGAAAGACAAGAAAGCCCCAGATAAACTGAGAATAAGAGAAACCGTTTGAGGGTGAAGCCAGGAGCAATCAGACTTACCCTCTCTCTACCTTATCAGAAAAGTAAAAATGATGCTTTCTGAGGAAAGTCCAAACTAAGCCTGCAGGCCCCCATGGGGTCATTTTGCCATAAGGAAGGCAGATTAGTAACTGACTTGGTAGTGGGGGACTGGGGCTGGCATTGAGCTGTGGGTCTCAGAATGGGGAGTATATGGATGGACCCAGAAACCTGAAGACTGACAGAACTGTGTCTATGTCAGGGCAGAATTGGGGCTCATTGCTGACCCCACCCTGCCCCTTGTAAGACTGGAGATGCTGTAAACAGGGACAATGGCCCAGAGGCCTTAGGACTGCTGAGCTCAGCAGAGCGGAAGCAGGGAGGCCAAGGAGTCTAAGGTAGCAGCTGTAAGCCCTGGCAGCTGGCCAGTGAGAGGCCCCTTCCACCCACATATAGCCCCACCCCCACTCCTAGTTTGCAGCCCCAGCTAAGCTGATGTCATCAACAGCCTGTATCAAGAATGGCTCGGAGTCTGGTGGGAAGCAATGGGATGGAGCAGAATTCTAAGCTGTGCAACCTTGGGGAAGTCACTGCCCTTCTCTGGTCTTCAGTTGCCTCAGAAAACAAATATTAGACTATAGTAGTTTGCTTAAGGGTCCAGTGGACTCTGAAAATCTAAGGCTGAGTAATCCTAACCTCACAGGGGTCCCTGATATCTCTACTCCCATTCACAGCTGGAGCAGGTTTGGCTTCTTGACATTGGACCTGGATTTCAGACTTGAGTCAGGGCTGACATGAGGAGCAGCTGTACCCTGAGTGACTTACTCCCCTGCTTAAAGTCTTCCATGGTCCACATGTCCTTGAGGTGAAGCCTGACTCTCCCAGAGGGCCATCCACGGTCCCTCTGACTGACTCCACCCACATCACTGACTCCTTTCCTGCTGTCTGAGCTCTAAGCACTTGGGGCTGCATACTGTTCCCTTAAAGCTTAGTGATAGTTCATGCCTCTATGCCTTTGCTTATGCTATTCCCTCAGCTTGAGTACCCTTCTCCATTCCTCACTTGGCTAGATCAGTTTCCAAGACAGCTCAGGTATCATCTCCTCTAGAAAGCCTTCCTTGATACCACCCCCACCCCACTTTGGATCAGGTGCCTCTGCTCTGGGCTCAAACAGTCTTGGGTGTCCAGTGACCCAGCCTGATCACACTGTATTGTGCTTTGTTCCTTGTCAAGGGCAGAGATGGAATCTGGGTCCTAGGACAGTTGTCATTTGTGGCAATGGGATGGAAGCCTGCCCTCTTTCCCATTTTCATAGGTGGCCTCCAAGGTGGATTTGAGTTCCCTGGCCCCATGTTTGAGGGCTTCAGGGGAGTGGGAACCAGGGATGGTGGTGGTGGTTTCTACTGATTGTGTAGATATTTCTGCAGGCTCCACTGACCCAGGTCTGCAGACGCGACGTTTCCCTGCGCTCTGCAGTCCTGGTGCCTCCATCATGGCTGCCACCAGGGGAAGGGGCCCCTCAACCTGTCTCCACCCTCCTTAGCTGCCTCCCCTGCAAGCTTGGCCCACTTCCATTAAAACATCATCTCTCTGCTCCCCAAAAGGCCTGCCCCACTGCACACCTGCATCTATACTGCTGCCCCATTCTCCTTCTTGACATCTTTCCTGTCCCAACTCTGTCCTTTCTTTAGTACTCAAATTAAGTCCTACTTCCCAAGCCAACATCCACACCACACAGGGGTGAGTATAGGGTGCCTAGCCTCTTCTTCTCCCAGAGGGATGCAATATGGGTTCTACTCTGCACCCCCACCCAGCGCCCAGCCCAGCTTATGACCAGAGTACTCATAAGCCTGCCCAAACCCCATAAATGCATGGTGCATGGTTGTATACACCATCCCCCATAAAGAGGACTGTTTCTCAGGGAAAAGTTTATTACAGGGAACACACTAACCTCTTTCATAGTATCTAAAGGTATAAAAACTACAAACATGTATCTGGCTCTCAAGTGTGGACAGCTTGGCATGGAGCCTGAGTTGAGCCATGACTTGTTGCCCGGCGGAACCCACGGCTTCCTCCTGGACCTGCCTGGCAGGCTAGGAGGTCCAGGAGCCTTCCAGCCATTTCCTAGAGAAGGGGAGGAAGGTGGGAGGAGAAGGAAGCCATATCTGGTCTCATGGTGGTGAGGCCCAGGGCTGAGGTGCAGCTGGAATTTGAAGCTGTCCAGGCCCTGAATCACCAATTCTGTTAGGGAGGCTTCAGCAAGGCTCTGTGAGGAGGAGCCAGGATAGGGAGGGGCCAGGATGTGGCTGGCTTCCCTGTTCCCCACTAAGACCACCCTGTCTGCACTGGCTCCCTGATCTCAGGGCCTGCACCTCCAATTGCTTTCTCCAGAGTCCCTGCTGGCTCTCCTGCAGCCCAGGGGTAGATTAGAAACCTCCCAAGGCTCATCCAGCAGACCAGTGCCCAACCACAGTGACTCCCAACAGGGTTGCTCTGGGCTGTGCCCTGTGGGGACTTGTGGCAGAACTGGACCTAAGTGGAGTGGCTGCTCAACCTCAAGAGTAGGGAATGGGATGAGAGGAGGGAGAGCACCCACCCCCTGAAAGGCCAGAGTGGCTCGGCCTCCTCTGCCCTCAGGGCTAGGCACCATTGGCCTAGGCGCCTGAGAGGGCCCGCTTCCGGAAGGCCTGTAGGGCTGGGTTGTTGAGCAGTGTGTAGGCCAGACCCCAGCGGGCCCTGCCATGGCTGGCCCTGCGCCCTGCTCCCTTGGCCATGGAGTCCTTGGTCTGCAGCAACTGCATTCCTGTAAGGGAGAGACCTTCTGTGAGTCATTCAACAAACCCAACCAGGCCTCCCAGGGACCTGGGGCCAAGCAGAGCCTGATAATCCCATGTTCAGGGTGGGAGAAGGTAGTGGGGTTAGGGTTCCAGGTGCCAGCTCAGAGGGTTGAAATTCATGAGAAGCTTGAGGCTGAGAGGGGTGTTTGTAAAGGGTTAGAGATGCTAACCAAAGGGTTAGGAGCAGGTGGCAGATAGAAGAGGGAGGGTTGAGGTCTGAGCAGGAGCAAGTCCCTAGAGCCCTCTTAGTGTCTCCACACTTCAGGGCAGCTGGGAAAGAGGGCTTACTCTCTGAGAGGGCGGGGGTGGTCCAGAGAGGTGGTGAGGGTGACTGAGCCCCTTAGCAAGGCAGCCATTTCATTTTCCATTTGCGAATGTGTGTATGTGTTTATATCATGGAAAGAATTACCCTGAGACCAACCAGGAGGGGCGACCACAGGCAGCCAAGGGAAAGAGGAAGTGAGAATTTTCCTGGCGCTTGCTCCATGGGTGTGTGTTTGGGGGAGGAGGGCGGCCAACTTTCCTGGGAGAAGTTGGGTAGCTGGGTAGGTTCAATCCTCGCTGCCCCCGCCCCCCCACAGTGGGAAGGTGCACCTTCTTCTTCTTCCTCAGGTCTGAGGCCATTCTGAGGGCCTGCCAGGGGCTGGGGCTGGGGTCTCCGCCCTTGTAGGAGAAGGGTGCAGAAGGCTGTCACAGCTGGATGCGACTGGCTGACCTCAATCTTCAAGAAGTTTCGGTATGTATGATAGCCTGGGTGGGTGGGGAATGGCAATACTGGAGTAGGAGGGGCCACCAGCCAGCCAGAGGACTGGAGACCAACACCCCCAACACACACACAGGGAGTACACTGAACATACTGCATACAAGCACACAGATACACAGGACGGGATTAACACAGAGTGTGTACACTGCATGTGTGTCACATTTAGACATGCTCCGAGCATACCACACAAGCATCGCATCCTGCCTGCTGCATCCAGAGCAAAATCACACAAGGACAGCACAGCCGCACACAGTACACACTCTGTGGTTGTCAGTTTCCATAGAGTCGATTGCAACACTTAGTGACCCCATGTGACAGAGTAGAACTGCCCCATAAAGTTTCCTACGCTATAATCTTTACAGAAGCAGATAGCTAGGTCTTTCTTCCAGGGAGCCACTGGGTGGGTTAAAACTGCCCACCTTTCAGTTAACGGTCGAGCGCTTAACCATTGCGCTACCAGGGTTCTTTGCACACCCTCTGTGGAGTGTAAAAATAAAAATTTATACCCTCCAGACTTGCTGGAGCCTAATGACTGAAAGGTTGAAACTGTCCCAAACTCTTAAGGAAATAACCTGCTCACTAAAAAACGCAGATTTTGGATTTATTGCCACAAAGTGTGCAACGCTTAAAGTAACAGCTCCCCAGGTCATCTTTGTGATTGTTCATAAAGACTGCACAATCACCAACAACTGCATTTGTGACTACACATCATTTGAACATCCTTTTCCCTATTTCGACAAATGTCAAACCTTCATTAAATCTTTAACTTCCTTGCTCCTGCTGGAAGTTAAACTGTTGACTTTTTTCCCCTTCAACAGAGCTTCTTTCCACTTTTTTGGATACTGCCCTATTCATGAATTGTTTGATCCTGCTCAAATAAACTCATAAAATTTAACCTTTGCCTTCAGCTGTGAAATCTTTGACAGGAGAAATCTCACACAGCACAGCAATACCACTGCGGATACAGACATCTTCTGTGAACAGATGTGTGTCTCATACACAGAACCCCATGCAGGGACACACCACCTGCGGACTCACACCACAGTACTCATGTGGACACTGGTGTCACACATGTACTCCCCACTCCGCACACACACATGACAGACTGACACACAGAATGCCTGATACACAAGGTGGCTGGCACAGACTCATGCCACGTGGGCACACACTTTTGCATGCAGACTCTGACCCACACCATGCACATGCACACACAGTCACTGCAGACAGCGTATGCTGCACATGCAGTGTCTTGCTAGAGCTGGTGCACATGCAGGGGAGTCCCTGTGCACAGAGACACAGCTGTAGCCCTTCCCACAGGAACTCACAGGAATACGCACACACAGGTGCACAACACACAGTCTGCTCTGAGCACACATGTGCACACACACACACGTACACATTGTACACATTCCTTCCTTCCTACAAAGTTAACAGAGTAACTAGCTTGCATGGGATCCCATCATAACTTTGAGCAAAGTATATTTCAACCAATAATTTCATGTTTTCTTCCTCAAAATCACCTCAGGAGAGGGGCTGAGCTATTAACACATAGAGTTGAGGAGACTAGACTCAGAGAAGGAGGGTGCATGGACAGGAAGGTGCTGTGGGTGAAAATCAGGTCTGTCCGCTCCATGTAACTGCCATTCTCCACACCTAATGCCACCCTCATCCTCAACCCCGCATACATAGCTGTATCTGTTTTTGCAGAATGTGCAGAGATCTTTGGTGTATATGTGTTTTACTTAAATGGAAGTTATCTTGCCTGTCTCATTCCATTTTTTCTTTTTTCCACTGAGCCTGACATTTCTAAGATCCATCATGTTGTTCTGCCTTGGTCTACCTCGCTATTTCTAATTGCATGCAGCACTCCACTGTGCGCACACCCACATTCTCCCTGTTCCCCCCGCCCAGGGATACTCCCCCACCCCAGCTAGGTCAGGACAGCCCCTCCCCTAACTGCTTGGACAGCCTGACACAACCCCCAGCCCCTGCCCCTGCCCAGTAACCTTACCAGGGTCGAAAATGGTGGCTCTAGGCGGCAGCAGGCTCAGGTCCATCTGGCTGAGGTGGATGGCATTGTGGAGGGCAGAGAAGAGCACTCGGCAGGCAGCCACCGTGATGCCCACCAGCATGTTGATAGGGAACAGAAGGAAGGTGGCTGCATAGAGAGCTCGCCTGCAGTGGGGAGAGCAGAAAGGCTGAGGTGACTCACCCCTAGAACTTTCTCCCAGGATCAGTGTCAGATCACATTGGATGCCTGCAGCACTACTGTACACCCCACCCTGTGAGACAGGTCATGTCACCTCCTTCTATAGAAGGGGAAACTGAGGCCCAGAGAGAGTGACTTAGCCAAAGCTGTCTAGCTAATCAGTGGCAGAGCTAGGCTGTACGTGAAGGTGCGACTTGATCTTTCTGTGACTCCAGTGTCTCCCACCTCCCTCCATGGGGTCCCTTGTCCTCTAACTCTTGAGTCCCTCCTGGGGCCAGAATTCTCTCTCCCACTGCTTCCATCTGACTTGCAAAGTGCCTGCCAAGGGGGGAGGCACATGTTTTAGAGAGAATAGAAGACTCAGAGGAGATCTGTGCTGATGATCCCCAAAGCAGGAAAGGCTCATGAAACTATATTTGGCCTTACAACAGGTTTACAGAAGTGCTCTTTTTCTCTGTGAGGAAGGCAAACTCTCTTTACTACCTGCTGGCCTCCCTGATAGAGAAAGTGGGAGAATGGCAATAGAAGGAGAAGAGTACAAAGAAAGAGAGACATAGAAGGAGAAGAGACTGAGGGCCTGAGGGAGCCACAAGCCAAGGGGCCATCTCACCGGTTGGTCAGCTCTGGGCGTCCATGATGAGTCTCCAGAAAGGCCCAGTGAGCCGCCAAATTCTGCAGAGTCACAGCCAGGGCCAAGGTCAGCCAGAAGGGCCTGGGGATGGGGTTGAGGAGATGGGTCACTGTTAGCAGCCCTCTGGGAAAGGGTCCCAGAGCCCTCTGCCCCTTGTCCCACTCACCATGAGGACTCTAGGGCTCGGAGGAGCAGGAGGTTCCTGCCATGGAGCACAGGCATGAATACCAGGAAAGCGAGGGCCATGGTGCCCAGGAAGAAGATGATCTGCTGCACCAGGAGTCCTGCCAGGGGCAGGAGGTAATGGTGGTGGTGGTGGTGGGGGGGGGACAGGCATCAGGCTCTGTGGGGCATGGCCATCCCTGCCACCCTGGGGCCTGATGGCTTTGGAATCGAGTTTCAGATTGTTACTCTACCACTGCCGAACTGCACTACCGTAAGTAAGTTACTTCACCTCCTTGAACCTCAGTTTCTTCCTCTGTAAAATGGGAATAGTGGTTCCTACCTCAAAGGACCATTGTGAGGATCGGGGTAATGTCTGTGACAACTCTTTGAAAAACCACAAAGTGCTTTGTAAACATTATTTTCCTTCATCTGTTCTTGAGTCCTTGGGGATAGGACTACATTTTTAACTAATGCAGAGTCTGGCACATGGTAGGCGCTGGAGAATTGTCTATTGAAACAACTAACTAATTGCTTACATGGGACAATGTGTACAGAAGGGTTTGGGTATGTTGTCATGTGCCATCAAGTTGATTCCGACACATAGCAACTCTATGGAACAGAGTAGAACTGCCCATAGGGTTTCCCAGGCTGTAATCTTTACAGAAACAGATCATATCTTTCTCCTAACAGAGTGACTGGTGGGTTTGAACTGCTGACCTTTCAGTTAGCAGCCAAGCACTTAACCATGGTGCCACAAGGGCTCCTTTTGGGTATTAAGTCTACCAAAGGAATTATGACTTCCAGTTCTAATTTAGTCCTTTAGTCCTCCACTCCTCTATCATCTTTCTCCTCTTTTCCCAGTGAGGTTAGAACTGAAGGAGCCAACAAGGAAAGAAAGAGGACCCATGACCCTGACCCCAGCTCCTCATGTTTCAGAGTGCTTTGCTCACTGCAATGCCCAAGGGAAGAATCAGAAACTCAGGGCTTGGAGGGGGTCTTTGAAAGTCATGTAGTCCAGTCTCTTAGGGCAGGAACCCCTTTGCTGTTCCAACAATGGGCTCTGAATCTTGCTTGCATATCCCTAGTGTCAGAGATCTCATTACCCCTGAGGAGGCCCATTGTGGCATAGCCCTCCCTTACACTAGCTGGAATGTGCTTCCTTGAACTTGACAGTTCCAGTCCTGGGCCCACCTTTCATGTAAATGACTAGTGGGACCCAAGTTGCATATGAGGAGTATCCATTATCTGAATGTTCCTGCACACCCCCAACCTGAAGGCAGGAAAGGAAGGGAGGGTCCCTCCTCTGCTCTGTGCCCGCAGAGTCTTCTTCAGGACATGCAGGCCCCCAGGGGACAGCCAAGACCTGCTGAGCTCTCTTCCCCTCACCCACACTGGGGCCAGTGTCTGGAGTGGGGCCTTGCCAAGGCAGGGTGAGGTGGGCAAGGGAGACTCACCAAGGCAAGTGAAGGCAGTCTGGTAGGCGCTGAAGCTCATCCAACAGAATATGGCCTGGCGAGAGGGGTGGGTGCTCTGGGATTGAGAGCCCAGATCCAGGGCAGCCCCTCGGTACAGAGCTCGCAGGTTGGCCCTGGGGTGAGACTAGGGAGTGAGGGATCAGGGGCAACATACACTCCCCAAATCCCTCCTCTGGGATGGCTTCCTGCCAAACTCCCAGTCTAATTATAACCCACTGCCATCAGCCAGGAAGTCCAGGGCATTGGGAGCCAGGGGAGACCACTAATTCAAACTGGAAGGTATGGGAGGGCTTCCTGGAGGAGCTGACCCTGGGCATCATCTAAAGGGTGAATAAGAATAAGCTGGGGTGGAGATGGGGGTGGGCTTGGGAGTGTGTCAAGGGAATCTTTGGGAGCCAAGTCAGAAAAGTGAGAAACAACAGTGGAAATGGGAAGTGATGTGCTGCTCAGCCATCAGGGCAGGAGATGAGGTTACAGGTAGGCAGGGGTTGTAGGGAGTCTTAAATACCAGGCTGAGATCCCTGGGCAGAACTCTGAGGCCTGTCAAATGCACAGGGCATGTGGACTGGTTGGACTTCCCCTTTCCACCCACTTGCTACCAGATAAGACTTCTCATCTGCTTGGAATCTCTCATGCTCCTCTTCACTCGCTGCCAGTGAGCAAGCAAGCAAGGCAGTGTGGTATCTGGTGCTCTGGAGTGACATCTCCACTGCCCCTGCACCAGCCAGGCGACCTCCTCACCTAGTCTCCACATCTCAGGCTCAGCCCCCTGCTTTTGCCCACATTGTGCCTCCTGCCTTCAGCACCCTTCTCCCTCATCTCCTACCTCTCCTTCTGCTCCCGTCTAGAATACCAGCTTCCCCAGGCTGCCTTCCTTATGGAATTCAGCTCACCCTGAGGGTCCCTCCTCAGAGCACAAACCCCACATGCCAGCCCCAGCCCCGAGTCATCATGTCCTGTATCATTCACAGACATGTCTCCAACTATACAGGCTCACCCCTAGGGCAGACAGGCCCACTTTCTCCAACTGCACTCACTCCCCCCTCCTCCAATTCAGCCAAGCTCAGGTGGGCTCAGGGACAACCTGAGCCTGCAGGGGCCCTCCCTCTAGCCCCAGGACCGTCCCCACAAGCCCTCCTGGGTCAGGAGTCTAGGACTCTGATTTCTTTCTCCCACCCCACCCCTACCTGTACACTGGGCGGGTCACTAACCTGTGCATCACCAGGGAGTAAATCTGGATGAGGAAGGTGAGTAAGCATGACAGGACCAGAGCTGAGATGTAGCAAACTAAAGGGGTGGAGAAAGAGCACAGTGGATGGCCATGGCCCAGTCTCCAGGGGTCTCTAACTGCTGCCAGGGCCATACCTAAGTGGAACTATCCCTGCCCTACACCTTACTCTGAGCAGAGACCTCTTGGCCACATCCCCAGTGCTCAGGCCTCAGCTGCCCCCATCCTTCCCTGTGACATATGGTGGTCACAATGGGAGAGGGCAGGAGCTCTGGTAGCTTAGTGCCTAAGGCACTTGACTCTAACCAGAAGGCTGGTGGTTCAAACCCACCAGCCACTCTTTGGAAGGAAAGTTGGGCAATCTACTTCCATAGTGATGCCACCTCAGAAACCCAAGGAAGGGTTGCTATGAGTCGGGTCTGACTTGACGGCACATAACAACAACAACAACAACATGGCAGAGGCCAGCTCTGAGGCTGTAGACCTGGCTCTCATCTTGGTTTTGCTGCCTATGTTGCTGTGTGAGACACCATCCCACTTGATGTCCACATCCAGCTCTGCTGTTTCTTGGCTGCGTGGCCTTCACTTTGCATCATGCCCCCAAGCCTGAGTTTGCTCCTGTGCTTACTGTCAGGTCCACTGTTATGCTACCTGCATTGTTGCACGCCGATTCTGACTCAGCAACCACATGTGACAGAGTAGATAGAACTGCCCCATAGGGTTTTCTCGGCTATAATCTTCACAGGAGCAGATTGCCAGGTCTTTCTTCAGCAGAGCTGTTGCCTGGCTTTGAACCACCATCTTTTCAGTTAGCATCCAAGTACTTAACCATTGCACCACTCGGCTCCTAGTATTTCATAATAATGTGAGCCATGAAGCCTTGACCATGCCTGCACCAATGCCTTTGTTCAGGGCACAGAGGATTTGAGTCCACGTCAGACTCAACGGATAAGGGAGGAGACAATGCTACCCCATCTTCTCTGGGGCAGTGGTCCTCCTCCCCAACTCCTCACCTCTTGGCCATGCCCACTATTATGAGTTTGCTGTGTCCCCCACAATCATGAAAGAATGAGTATTTCAGCATAGCGGGGATGTGGGGCTGCAACCCTCCCACCCTATAGGCAGTCCAGCCTCCCTCTGGACCCTCATAGCAACTCCTCAAGGTCGAGACGCAGGAATTGTTCCCATTGAGCAGGACGGGGCACTTTTCTGAAAAGTAAGGTTGGAAGGAGTAACTGGGCATGACCTGCTCAGTTTGCATTTTCCAGAGCCAGTGCACCTGCAGTGAAGGTGTATTCTAGACCATTTTCTGCTAACAGGTGAGAGGGCTGCCTGTTGAGCGTGAATGGGTGGGTGAACAGGTTGATTCAAGGGTGAGAGGTTAGCAAGACCCCATGGCCACTGGCCTGGCCTTTGATCTCCATCTGTCTATCTCCTGCTCATCTTTCCCTCAATTTGCTCCAAACTCAGGTCCCCTCCAATCTCTGCTGACCATTATATCTACCTGGTCTTTGCCTCTTCTGGGACCCTGCCTCAACAGTCTTAAAGATCTCCCAGCTTCTGCCCCATTCTGGACCCTACTTTGTGATTAGGTCTGTTCCATCACCTGATTGAAGGCCTCAATAACAAGGCTGTCTTTGTAGCTTCAGCATCCAAGAAAGGTCTAACCATTTTGCCGGTAGGAAAATTGAGGCCCAGAGAGGTGAAGCAGCTTGCCCAAATTCACACTGCTTGTAACTACAGAAGGAGCTGTAGTCGGTGCAATGGTTAAGGCATTTGGCTGCTAAGCAAAAGTCAGTGGTTCAAACCCATTAGTCACTCCATGGAAGGCAGATGAGGCAGCGTGCTTCTGTAAAGATAGGCAGCCTGCTTCTGCAAAGATATACAGCCTTGGAAACCAAGTGGGGTTGCTGTGAGTCAGAATCAACTCAATGGCAGTGAGTTTGGTTTGGGGCTTATAATTACAGAGCAGGGATTCTAATTTAGTCTGCTTGGCTGAGTCTGGACTTCCTGTGAATGATACCAGGCTTGTGGCCCAGGTGCCAAATCAGCAACCCCAGTGGAGGGCTCTCAGAGCTCAGAAGACTTCAGACCTTTAGATTAAGAACAGACCAAAGGGCTCCCGGCCCAGAGCTAATCTGTTTCACACCTGGCCCACTGAATGACTTTGGGTCATTTGGACCTTGCTCCTTGGCCTCAGTTTTCCTCATCCACAAAATAGGAGAATAGATGATGCCCTGTTTGGATCCAAGAAGATCTAAAGTGGAAGTATTTGGGGCTTGGAAACTCTAATGTGTCCTGTAACTGTAAGATGTGATGAATAGAAGCAGAATCTATTTGCCCTGGACTTCTCACTTCCTGCCTCTGAGCCTTGATTTCCTGCTCTGTGAGATGGATTCAGTGATGTATCATTTAGCAGAGCTGCTATGAGCAAGGGTCTGGGCTTAGATGTGGACTGACATGACCCATGTCTGCTCCTGCCTGTGGCCCAGGTGGCAGCCAGTTTGAAACATCTTCAGAGATATAATTTTCAGCCCACCTTGTCACCTGTCCAGCTTGTGGGCTTTGGCAACAGTTCCAGGGCAGCCTCTGGTATGGGAGCTAAAGGAGCTCAGGAAGGTGGTAAAGATGGCAGTCATGGAAGGAAACTGTCACTACACATACCTTGACCTACCCCCACTCCCTGCCTCTCTCCATTCCCAACATAGCTAGTTCTTTGGGTGCAAGGAGGATACTAATGTTCAGGAATAGCTGCAGAGGAGTCATACCTCCACCTGCCCTACAGGCAGCCTAAGCTCCGACCATCACATATCACTCCTCAGGAGCCAGGATGCTGCTGCTTCTGCTCCTGATGGCCACTTCAACCCACATCAACCTGGAACCTCTAAGTCATAAGGTGGTACAGAGTGCCCCACACCTAGGCATCAGGAGACTTGAGTTCTCTTGGCCCTGCTTCTGACCTGCTGTACAACCTCACCCAAGTCCTCCATGTGCCAACAACCACAGGGGTGTTGGGAAGGTCTGGTAGGTGAGTGTTCCCTAGCAGGGCTACTGATGGCACTAGATCATGGAAGGAAAGGCTGTATTATTCCCTGCTTCACGGTGGGGGGGCGGGGGATCAATGTCAGGGGAGGGAAGAAGAGAGGAGATGGCCAGAGAGGATAGGGAATAGGGAAGAGGAAACATCTGCCCTTTCCAATCCCATCCACATGACATGCGGATCCTAGTTCTCCACCCTCAGCAAAGGCCCCAAGACCTGTCCCCTCAGCTCACTCGTACCATCACCTTCCCCATCTTCACATCAGGAGAGTTGGCCAAGGACACTGGATGTGGTGGTGGGAGAAGCCACACAAGCTGACAAGGGTCAGGGGGCTGGCTGAGACTATCTCTTCAAGTCTCAGAAACCGGAAACTGAAAGCTCCAACTCCCCCGATTTGGAAATAAACGTGACAGTCAAAGCCCAGAGAGGGAAAGGGATGTGCCCAAGGGTACCCAGTATATCAGTGGCAGGCCGGGACTGAGCTGGAGGATACTGGCTCCCAGTCCCGACTGCAGCGGGCTCTCCGAGACTCCCAGGAGGCCTCACCTTCCACTGCCCACAGGTGGTGTTTCACCAGTTCCACCACCTCCTGCCTATCCTCTGAGAGCACGATCCCAAACCCGGCCAGCAGGTACGAGACGTCCGTGGTGATGCCTGCCCTCATCTTCTGGAGGGTGGGGACCGCGCCCACCATCAGCAGCAAAGCCACCTGGAAAAGTCCCAGAATGAGGGCCCTAGGGCCAACCTGCGCTCCCATCTGGCATGACCACCCCAGGAAGTATTTGCTGAGCTGACAAGGAAGAGAGGAACCTGGGCAGCACACTGCCTGCAGCCACCTGCCCAACTGAGAGTATCTTATCCACCTCCTAGAGTAGGAGCCTCAGGCCTTTCAGCAGCAGGTTACAAATAGACAACGTTTGCATAATGAGCCTAAGATGCACTTTTAAGCAGCACAGTTGGGTGTGTGTAAAATTAAATAATGAAACATAAAATAGAATATATAAGGAAGGTTGGGCAATCCTACTTCCGTAGTGATACTGCCTCGGAAACCCAAGGAGGGGTCGCTATGAGTCGGGGCTGACTCGACGGCAAATAACAACAACAACAACATTAAATATAATATAAATATATTGTTGTTGTTATGTGCTGTTGAATCGGACCCGACCCATAGTGACCCCTCCTTGGTTTTCAAGGTGGTATCACTATGGAAGTAGATTACCCAGCCTTCCTTGTGAGGAGTGGTTGGTGGGTTTGAACCGCCAGCCTTCTGATTAGCAGTCAAGTGCCTTAGGCACTACGCTACCAAAGCTTTTTTAATTTTTACATGTTGGAGGAAGCCATGTCCTATGACATGGCATTGAAGCTAGATAAATCTGGACTCAAATTTTGGCTATCTTAGATATTAGCTATGGGAACTTGGCCAAGTCAAAATCACCTCTTTGACCCTTAATTTTCCCATCTGTAAAATGGAGAAAAATCATACCTATCTCCCAGAGTTATTTGGGGGATTGAAGAGGAGAGGAGGAGGAGGAGGTATTTTTTATCACTTTTTATCTCAGTCAATATTCCCAAAGAGGAAGGTATCTCTGTTCCCTCATTTTACAGATAAGTAGAAGTTCAGAGAGATTGAGTGCCAGAGAGCACACAGAAAAGTAAATGAAGGAGCTAGGATTTAAATCCATGTTTATGTGATCCCAAAATATGATCCCTAACTCCATATGGGCCCAATAAGATTTAACATCCCTCTTTTTAGATAGGTCAACATCTCCAAGATGGCCAGAAGTAGCTGAAGGATTGTGGGTGGTATTTTGGAAGACTGAGCTGGGCTTGAGCTGTCCCAGGCTGTGGGTCAGAGGCAAGGGTCCAGAGGCAGATGGCACTGGGTGTAGGACATACCTGGTAAATGGCTGTCCCTGTCAGAGTGGCCGAAACCACCAACTTCAAAGGGAGTCGGAATCCTGCAGTTCTCAAAAAAAAAAAAAAAGGGCTTGGTGAGTTCCAGCTCCACGTACGCCCAGGAGCCACCCTTCCTCCCAAGTGACCCAGGAAAAGAGTCAGGGTTCACAGGACCCTGGAGCACCATGACCAGGCCAGAGGCTTCCTCTTGTCCCAAGGTGGGACTTGTCCTTTTTGATGACAAATGTGCTGGAAGGTGGAAGACAGGAACTGCTCTCCACTCCATCCCATACCTCGCTGTGGGGTGTAGATATGGTGTCTGAAGCAGATCCAGGCCTGGGACAGGAGATTCTGCTTGGAGGTGTGGGAGCTGCAGAGAGACCCAGGCAGGAGGTGGTCCTCAGGAGAAGCCCCTGAGGCTGAGCCTCAGAGCCTGGCTCATTCTTCCTTTCTGCACTGGCCATGCTGCCCAGTGCCAACCTCCCAAACCACACACCCGAGGGTGTGCCTGGGGCCTCACCTGCTTTCCAGCTTCTTTCGGCAAAGGAGGTACCTCAGATACTCCTCAGAATAGCTGCTCAGCAGCACCTATGGAGAAAGACAAACATAAACAGAGGTGGCCTGCCTGAAGCCCTGCCTGGCTCCGGGCACCACAGTGATCATGAAGTTGGTGCTACATAAAAACCACTTGACTATGGAGATAATGAAGTGCAAAGAGGGGCTGAACTATGTAGATGAGATCTGTGCCCCCTAAAGCTGTCCTTCCCATCACCACAAATACAAGACTGGTCAATCCCCTCCTGAAGGACCCTCAATGATGGGAAGTTTTTCGCAGGGTCTACCTTCAACTTTCTCCTGTTTTATTCAGTCACATTCCATTATTGCTTCCTTCTTACCTCTCTGACACATTCCTGACCAGGATACAAGAAAGGAGCAATACCCGGTTAAAAACTCCAGGTCTCTCTTACTAGCATTCAAGGGAAATCACAAGGGTGAACGGATTTGTCTAAGCTACATTCCAGGCCTTAAGCTGCCTGCAAAGTAGCTGAGACCCATGGGCAGATGGGGTGAGTCCTTGCCCCAGATCACTGGGGGGAACAGAGAGAGGCTTGTCACCTGTTGCCATGGCAACTGTGGCTTCCAGGGTGGGTGTGGGTCAGCTCAAAGCTTAACTGGTTCCTTTGAGGACTAAACCTCTTTGACCAAGGGCCAAGGAGGGTTTTCTTCCTCTCATGACTCAGGAGGAAAGGCATGCAATGGAGGAAGCTGTGAGGCAGAGAACATCCCTGGTAGAGGAGGTAGAGATGTGTCTGGCACACTGTGTATCCTGAGGACACTCCTCTCTTTTAGGCCAACTGAAAAATGAGGGGACAATTGGATGTCCCCCAAAGTATGGGAGCATCAGGAGGGCAGTGAGGGACAAGTTCTTAGAACTCTACTCACCCCCCACATGAAAGCCAAACCAAGAGTCAGGCAGATCTGGTCGGACCAGAGGGCCCAGCTGGGATACAGGACTGCTCCACAAGCACCTGAGCCCACCCTAGCCTTTTCTCTCCTCACTCCTCAGTGCCTAAGTGATCTTGCTCATTCTCTGTCTGTAATCTGATAGCACCCAAGTTAAGACTCAGTCCCATCACCTTTCCTGAGCTTTGGACCTGTGGTCCAGCCGCCCATTGGACATCTTCACTGGAATGTCACCTGACGCCTCACACTTAGCACATCCACAACTGACTATTGTTCCCTGCACATCTGCTATCTGTCCTAGATGCCACCCTACAAGCCTTTCCTTGCCTTCCCCATCTGAAGAGTAGCAAACCCCTTTGCATCCTCAACTTTTCTTGAGTCTGGCCCCCTTACTCTCTGAGGGCCTCTGTGGAGTTTCTCTCTTCTTCCTCCCTCACCAGGAAGTTACTTGGCCCTGCCTCCTCCTGTGTTCCCATGGCATTTGGATGAGCTCCCTTGCACTACTGCATTGCATGGTACATACTTGGTGCTGCACTTGTCTCCCCCTTCACAATGGGAGCTTCTGGAGGTCAGCTCTGAGTCTGTAGCACCTGTGCCTGACACAAAGTCGGTGCTCAGACTTCTTAATAAGATTAAAATATCTTGTAAATACCCTATCTCACTGTGATATATTTATCCATCCATCCATCCATCCATCCATTCATCATTCATCCGTTTCTTCATCTACCATCTATCCAAAAATTTTAAAAATATTTGCTGAGTATCTGTTGTGTGCTAAGACCTGCCACATGCTGCAAATACAGACATGAACAAAACAGACACAAATTCATCTCTATAGCTTTACTAATGCTCTTTCTCATGCCTGCAGTGCCTTACCCTTATTCTCTCCCCATTCCAGACTCTCCCTATTCTTTGGGTTCCTGCTGAAGTCTACCTCCTCCAGGAAGCCCTCCCAGCCTGTCTCACTTCTCCCAGAACTCCCCTTTATCTGACCTGATTCAACTCTATCCAACCTAGAGTTGATTCATAATGCTATTCTTCCCTGGTGGTTCTTGAAACATTTCAGTATCTACAGATTCAGCTCCTGTTAGGCACAGGCCCCTGATTTGTCTCACTTCCTCAGCTGGATCCTCAGTGTTTCAGAAGCAGAGCTACACTTTCTTATCTTCTGATCCAATTGCCCTTTGTTGAGTTCCTACTGTCTACACACCCAGTCCCCAGGTATCTTGGGTGCCTGCCAGGGAACTGGCTTAGCCTTTGCCTGGGGTAGGGAGAGGACCAACCAGTCACTCAGTGATTCAGCAAACAGTTTCTGAGTACTTACCATATGTTAGGCCCTACAATAAGCATATCTAGGACCAAGAGCCATGGGGGAGCACGGGGTGTCTTTGGGTGTTAAATAGGAGCCCAGCCCAGCCCTGGCCCTTTACCTCAGAGCCCGCTCCTGCTCTATGGCTGAAGCTTCTCACCAGTTGCACTGGGTACCAGAGGCTCAGGAATCCGAGGCCCAGAAGGAGCGGCAGGGAGGCCAGCAGGGAATAGTACTTGTAGATCTAGACAGACAGACAGGCCTACCTTGAAACCTTCTTCCCCTAACCTAGGACCAGAATCCATTTCCATTCCTACCTCGTACTGGGCTCTGTGAAGGGCCTGAGGATGGTCTGGGTGCCGTGGAAAGGTTTCTGGTTCTGTCTCCCCAACCCCAGTCCACCCAGCACAACACACCCACTTCCTCATCTCAGGCCCTGCAGATGTGCTCCCCTCCCCGTACCCCAGGCTCTTACACCTACTGCCCACTGTCCTTAGAGGCACCAAACAGGAGGAAGTTATGTAACCCTTTCCACTCTCCCCCCAGGAACCAGACAGGGACCTGAAATAAGGGATGCCACTTTCTACGTTCTTATGTCCCTGCAGCTTTTGGACACAGTGTGTTGAAAAGTAGATAAAGGCCTAATGTTGTCTCTATGCCATCTTTGACCTTGATGTCCTGCCTCCCGGAGTTGAGGACTTCCTGGGGTGGGTTTCTTAAGTATTCATTTATTTGTTAATTCTATGTGTTTTATTGAAAGCCGAGTTCTAGGTGGTAGAAACCAAGTCCTTGCTCTCAAAGGAACCTAATCTTCACCTTCATCCTCGAGGGACTGGTGTTATCAATTTTATTTGTAAGTAGGGAAACTAAGTGTCAGAAAAGTGACATGGTTTTCTCAAGGCACTTGTCACCACTTGACATCATTTGGTATAGTTGTTTGTTTATTTATTTATTGTGTCTCCCCTTCTGGAATGACAGCTTCGAGAGGCCAGGGCACTTGTCCACTTCCTGGTGCCTAGAAATGTGCCTGATATACAGTATGTTTCAAAAAGGCATGTTGAGTAAAATGAATGGGTGAATGGATGAATGAATGAAGTGGTGAAACTGGATTCAAACTCAGGTTATCTGGTTTGGAAGCTAAACAACCACCCTTTGAGCTCTAACCTGGGCAAATTCACACTTTCACAATTTCACACAGCAGCTAGTGGAGCAGGTGCTAAGGTTCTGGAATCTCCTTTCAGCCCACTGAGACCATCACCCAGCTCAACACTGTCTGCCCTCCCTCTCTCTTCACTTCAGGACATTCCAGACAGGCCAAAGCAAGGCTGGGGAATCAGTAACAGGCTTCTTACTGATCCTTTTCTGCCCTTTTATCCCTTCCTTCCTTCCTAGACTGGAGGCTCCTGAAGGCAGGCCCCAGCTGTCTTGTCCTCATCCTTGCCTGTATGGAGGCCAAATTTAGGAATGGGATTATTTTTAAAGGACTAAATCCCGTGCCTAATAGAATGTGGTAGAGAAGCCCGTCACAGAAACAGACAGAAAAGGAGTCACTGGGTTTAAGCAGGCTTGTCTGCACATCCCTTTCACCCCAGGTCATCTTGAGTCAGTGGTTACCTTGGAACCCTGGGGACACTCCACCCTCTGCCAGACCTGGACCCCAAAGTGGGCCCAGGACAGCATGCTGCCAAGGAGGTGAGCAGTTCTGTGCCTGGTCATGGCACAGGCGGCCAGAGGGTAGTAGAGGGCAGGGTAATAGAGCAGAGCCAGCATCTTCCAGGGCCCTGGAAGGGAAGTTGGACAGAGGCACATGAAGGTGAGAAGCATACATGGGGCCTGGGTCCAGCCCACCCACGCCTCTCTCTTATCTCCATATTCAAAGCCCCTCAGCTGGTTGAGTGGGCAAGAGCCCTGGGTTCAAATCTAGACTCAGATAGTATCAGCTCTGTGATCTTGGGCAAGTTACCTCTTAGCATCTCAATTTCTCCACCTGTAAAATGAGAATAATAATATAACAGTGCATTACCAGTTGCCATGGAGTAAATTCTGACTCAGGGTGACCTCATGTGCATCAGAGTAGAGCTGTGCTTCATAGGGTTTTCAATAGCTGACCTTTCAGAAGTAGATTGTCAGGCCTTTCTTCCCAGGTGCTTCTAGATGAACTTGAACCTCCAAACTTTTGGTTAGTAGCTACATGTATTAACTATTTATTTGCATGAGCAGGGATAATATATTGTTGTTGGTGTAGATGTCATCAAGTCCATAGCAATCCCAAGTGACAGAGTAGAAACGCCTCATAGGGTTTTCTAGGCAGTAATATCTATGGGAGCAGATCACTAGGTCTTTCTCTCACAGAGCTGCCAGGTGGGTTCTAATCACCAATCTTTCAGTTAGCAGTCAAGCACTCAATTATTGTGCCACCAGGACTCCTTAATTAACCCATTGCTGTAGAGTCAATTTCGACTCATAGTGACCCTATAGGGCAGAGTAGAACTGTCCCATAGTGTTTTCAAGGCTGTACTCTTTACGGGAGCAGACTGCCACATCTTTCTTCTGTGGAGCAGCTGGTGGGTTCAAACCAAAGACCTTTCAGTTAGCAAGCAAGTGCTTAATCTTTGTGCTACCAGGGCTCCTTGGCTCTTTAGTTAGTGAGGGATAAAGGAGAAGATGTACGTACGGTGCTTAGTACAGTGCCTGAGTAAATGCTCAATACATTAAGCTCCCTCTTTAGTGTTTCTCCCTTCTCTGACCCTCAGTTCCCTCCCTTGTCAAATGGGGCTCATATTCATACTTTGCAGGGTTATTATGAGGACTGGATGAGCTCATGCAGCCATGCCCCAGCTGTCCTTGTCACCATCACCTCCCATAAGCCAAGGTGTAATTCCTCCCTATCCTCTCCTTGTCACTCTCCCTATGGTCCTTCATTCTTACACAGCACTAGGTACTCTGGGGCATTCAGCCTGTGCTCATGAATGAGAAAGTTCCCTCCCTCCTGGGAGTGGGGTTTGCACAATAACAGAAAAAAACTAGAAATAACAATATTGACCCAAACTGGAATCAGTAATGCAGAGATTTTAGACATCATGGTGGATAGTCGGGAGGGGCAAGGGGAAGCATCTTCTCAGTGGCATCTCATGATGTGGGATGGGGGCTGCTTTTCTCACCTACCCCAATGCTCAGGTTCCTCACCCAGCTGCACTGGTACCTTGGCTTGGCGTCCAGAAAAAGGCCAAGAAGGGCAGCGAGTCCTCACCAGGAAGAAGTAAGCACAGGGAGCTGAAGAGGACCATGAAGACAGCGGCGGGCACCATTCGGGGTTTGTCCTCAGCCAAGAAATCCACAGGGCTGGTGAAGAGGCAGGCACAAGGCAGGAGGGAGGCACTCAGTCCCTGCATCCCCAGTACCTCCAGGCCATGCTCCATAAACCAAGGAGGTAGAGTTAGCCCCACTCTCCAGATAGGGAAACTAGAGCCTTTCTATTCATTCATTTCACAAAGATTTGTAGAGTGTCTTCTATATACTAGGCATAGGGTCCTGTGGCCAAGTGAGTGAGAGAGCCCTCACCCCCAACACACACATACACATACATAGTGGGAGCATGCGTGAGCATTGCTCCTTCCACCCACCTTGGAAACACTAGGAAATAGCTGCTTCCACACTTATATGTCTGCCTGGGCTGGCAAACCTTCAGAGAGCTCAGCGAGTCACACCATTCTTAAGCAATGACCACTGCCCCAGGACTGGGTGTGGACCCAGGGGCAGAGGGCAGACAGCAGGCATGGCTGTAGCAGGCATTACTCCTCTGGGCTGAGGGAGGAGACTCAGACTTTCTGCTCTCACATCCCAGCTTACCCTTATGTCCTGAGAGTTTAGTCTTGCTTTGTCCCCCCCCCCCCCCCCCCCTGCCCCCGCAAGCCTCAAATTCTACCCAGTTAGCATAAGCTCTTTCCTAGGTCAACAGGTAAGGCAGAGACCTTGAGATGGTTCCCCACACACCAGCATGGCAGACCGCCCCCCCTGGTGTGTAGCCTGGGTCTAGGATGCAAGGCTATCTATGTTGGGGCTCCATCTATCACCTCCCTCAACTCTCTGGCTTCTTGCACACAAGCCCATGCAGTTCTATTTCCTCAAAGTCATCCCCATGCCAGGCTCTGGGCTCACAGGGCTGAAGACAGAGGGAGAACGTTTCAGCCATAGGAGCCAAAGATCTGAATGAATCTACCTTTAAGCACCAGGGTCCATGTGACACTCACAGGGAAAGCCAAGATCAAGGTGATATCAGTGTGGCCATGGCCTATCCAGACATCCTAAGAATCTATCTCCTGGAGCCAGGCCCTGATGAGCAAACATATTCCTGGGACCCGAGAAGGAGTCCTCTCTCCTCATGTTCTGGACAACAGGAGTAGGTAGACCTGAGCTGCCCAGCCCCCTGCCCGGGGTTCTTGACTAAACCTGGTGATAGGTGTGGGAATGGGAGAGCCCCCAGGTTGAAAGAGGTGAGGGTGTCACTGAGACAAGAGCTGCCTTCTAGGTACCCAACAATAACCCATCCTCCCAGAGTGGTCCTTATCAGCTGGGCCCCTGAACAGGGATGCCTAGGCCAGGGCTCCTACCTGAGCAGTCCGGGCCTGCCATGCCCACAGTGGGGCCACAGCCAGCGGCGCCTCACCAGCACAGCCAGCAACAGCAGCACGAGGACCTATGGGGAGAGCATGGGAGAGGGCTTGGTGTCCCCAGGCCTAATCCCAAGGGCTTGGCCTCAGTCCACAGGATGCCCGCCTCCCATCTGGTACACATTCATGTGGCATCTTGGGGGATAGCTAAGAGGTACCAGACATCTAGGAGGCTGGGTTTGGCCTGTATCCTTGTTTGGGACCCCACCTGGGAGGATTCTCAGACTCTCCCTCCCACATTCTGGGCTCCCGAGGTCTCCCTGAACCAGCCTGTGGTCATTGCAGCAGGTTGCAGCCAAGTTGGACTCACCGACAGCAAGGCTAGGCAGCTGTGGAAGAGGTTGAGTGGTGCACTGGACTGGCACAAGTACACAGGCCTGCAGAGTGAGCAAAGGTGTGGTCAGGCCTGAGTCAGGGGCCCCTGGGTGAGTAACCCAGGTCTGGGGTGCAAGGCTGTCTACATTGAGGCTTCACTAACCACTCCCCTCAACTCTCTGACCTCTCCCACACAAGCCTGCCCAGTTCTGCCTCCTTGGGGCCATCCAGGGGCCCTCATGCTTCTACGGTGTGCCTGGCTCTGGGGTTTCATTAGGAGATAAGGGAGAAGCAGATGTGCATGGATAGCCCTGCCCAGAGTAGACCAGCTTGGCCTGCACCCCTATTCTTGCTCACCCAGCTACTTCTAACACTTCAAGGCCCACTTCACCCCTTTCTACTCCAGGACTCACAGACTTCTCCTCAGAGTTGTGGCTGGGCCAAGCCGTCAAGAGTTTAGTCCTATGATCTTTCCCTCCCCTCATTGCTGGTATCTGAGATTGGTCATGTTGACTGGAATGACCTTCCCTGACCCCCTAGGACTTAAGTTTTTTCTTTCCCTGTTTCTCTCTCATTAAGGGCATCCTGTACAGTTTGGCAGTTGTGTACTACATAAGGATGACCGGTCAAGGGAGTGTGTGAGGTTTGAGCTATGTATACCCAAGTAGAGGACCCTTTTTCTAATTATCACAAAAGCTCCCTGCGGGCTGGCAGATGTCCTGCTCTTGCTGTAGCTGAACATAGAGGCAAGTCCACAGTGAAGATAAAGAGATCAATGAGGACAATGAAGGCCTCAACTTCCCCCATTGGGTCATGTGATAAGAGAAAGAGATTAGGCAAGTGCTCTGCCCTTAGCTCAGGATTGGACCCAGGCCTGGGAGAGCAGTCAGGACTGCATCCCTGGGGAGGGGTAGACCTCCGAATTGGCCCAGCTGGAGCCTGGGAATGCCAGAGGGAAAATACCAGTGTGGTTTAGACTGAGTGAGGTCTGGGGGGGCGGCCAGGAAGAGCCTCAGAAGAAGCTTTGTGCTACAGCTGGGCCCTCTTAGTCCAGGAAGCTCAGCCCACCCTCCTGGGCACCCTTCTGCTGTGTGGAAAGAGAAGCCCCCACATCTCATCTTCCAGGATGAGCTAAGAGCTCTGAGACCCTCGACTAGCACAGCCCAGTCTTCCCCAGGCTCTGTTTCTCTCAGGAAATCCCAGAGGGCTAAGATGCAGGGGAAAATATAGTCCTGTGGGCTTGTCCTTGGGGTGGAGGGGGAGAATAAGTCCATTCTGTACACCTTCTTGGCCAGGGAAGCGCCAGCCCCTTCCTGAACAGAACTGTGCTCAGAGGTACGGTGGGGGCTATGTAGGGGATTAAGTTCCCACAGTCTGGCTTTGGGCCCCCCACTCCCAGTTCTGATGCTGAGGCCTCTCATTCTGGTGGGCAGGGCAGTGGGTGGGTGAGGCAGGGGTTCTGTCCAGCCACAAGCATTTGGAGCAGCCCCTCTCAGCCCACGTCTCCTCATGTGACTAGTCCCTGCTTGACTCTGCATCCCAGGGCCCAGCCAAAGACTGCCAGGGCAGGAACTCTGCAAATTGCCCTGGAGCTGGCTGACTGATTTGAGGGCCTCACCCCAAACCAGGAGCCAACCCCACCCCCCATGGATCCCCTCCAGGGCCCTATCTGAGGAAACCTCTGGCCCCTCCTGTACCATCCAGGGTCCCTCATCTGACCCTTCCACTCATTTGTTCATGTTCATGGACCCATGTCTTCTGCTGTGGGATGGTTAAGACACAGAAAGAATGACACCTCAAGGTAAATGGTGAGTGCCATCCTAGGAGAGGCCCAAACTAGTGATAAAGGGTAAAAAAGAGAGAGAGAGACCTTGGGCAAGGAATCAGTTGTTGTTGTTGTTGTTGTTAGAGGTCAGTGAGTTGGTTCTGGCTCCTAGCAATCTCATGCACAATAGAACATAACACTGCCTGATTCTACATCATCCGCACCTTCATTGCTATATTTGAGCCCATTGTTGACTGGAGTTTGAAAGGTGGTTTTGTGTAGACAAGTCAGGTCTCTGGGTGGTGCAGATACTTAAAGGGTGGAGATTTGAACATACCCAGCAGCACCACAAAAGAAAGGCCTGGCAAACTGCTTCCATAAAGATTACAGACAGGAAAACTCTATGGAGCAGTTCAACTCTCTAACATATAGAGTTGTCATGAGTTGGAATCTACTCAATGGCAATGAGCAATGGTATTGGCAATGGGTTTGATTTTGTGTAGGCAAGGAGACCAGGTCTCAGAGAGGTTAAGTGTCTTGCCCAGAACACATAACTAGAAAAGTAGCAGAACCAGGAGTTGAACCTAGGTAGTCTGGCACCTACATTCCTAACCACCTTTTTGTGCTGCCCGTACAAAACTCATTGCTGTCGAGGTGATTGTGACTCATAGCAACCCTAAAGGACAGAGTAGAACTGCCACCTTAGAGTTTCCGAAGCTATAAATCTTTACCGAAGCAGACAGCCACATCTTTATTCCGTAGAGTAGCTGGTGGGTTTGAACTGATGACCTTTCAGTTCACAGCAGAGCCTTAACCACTACACCATTATAAGTCCAGTTGAATATCCGTAGTTTTAATTGGTTCAAAACAAATAGCTGCTGGGGAATGGAAAGGCCAGTCTGTGTTTCAGAGATATTTAGGAGAAAGAATTTGCATGCCTAGATGGAGGGGGAGCTCTGTGGTGTAGTGCCTAAGGCATTTGACTGCTAACTAGAAGGCTGGTGGTTCAACCCCCCCAGCCACCTCTCGGAAGGAAGATGGGCCGATCTACTTCCATAGTGATACCACCTCGGAAACCCAAGAAGGGGTCACACTATGAGTCGGATCCGACTCCAAGGCAGTGAGTTTGGGTTTGATTTTGGTGAGATGTGGAGGAGCGGAGGGAAGGGGAATTTCGGGGATGATTATAGGATTCTGAGCTCATCCCAAGGGGAGGGGTAAGGACCAGAGTCTTATGTAGCCCAAGGAAGATGAGACTTGATCTTGAGTAACTCAGGGTCATGCTGGGCACCCAGGGACAGAGACTGACTGCAGTGTTGTGAGGAGTGACTGAGACTGAGTTGTAGGAACACCAGATAAGAAGCCAAGATAGCTGTTTCTAGTAGTTGGGCTCTGAGCCTAGGAAGGCCCCATTTGGAGGGATGGCAGAAGCACTGTGTTATTGGCAAGAGACAAAGGCTGACCATCCAGGGTGGGGGTATCTGGGGGCCAGACGTGCCAAGGGAGCTTGAGTCCTGCTTCCTAATGTTTTCCCCACGCGTTGCAAAAGGGCCTGGAGAGCACCTTGGCACTGCCCACATGGTGAGAGGGCAGGCCAGCCATTGAGGGAAGCCCTTAATTCTGCCTTCCCAGGAAGCCCTTTGAAGTGGTGGGAGGTGAGAGACATCCTGGACATGGGCCACAGGTATATTTGGATCCCCTGGCTTGGGATGAGAAGCTCAGCATTGATGGTGGGTGGACACCCATGAGCACAGATATCACAGATGGGTGCTGAAGGATGGGGCACATACCAGGCTGGGCACATACTCTCTGGCCAGAGGGGCCCCTGGGGATAAGAAAGAGGTAACTCTGCTCACACAAATCAATCTTACATTCACAGGAGATCCCAGAATGACACATTCCATCCCTGTCAAGCTCACAAACCAGGTCCTGGTACCACAGGAGCACCTGAATCCATCCTAGCCACTGTCCCCTGTGCTCACCAACTCCAGCTCCTGCCTGAGCAGTACTGGAGCACGCTGAAGCACAGAAGGAGCCACTGTCTGGAATGCCCTGAAGTGTTGATGCACTGTCTCCCTGGGATGTCTGACTCATGCAGGGAGAGATGAACCCAAGTTTATCTCTTTGGGATTCCCCTGAGCTCTCATTTTCCTGCCTCCACCTTTGGGTAGGGGAGCAAGCAGCCTTACTGGGTTTAGCTAAGTACATAGATTCAGAATAAACCATCATCCTTAAGGATGACATGATCTACAGTGGGAAAAACCCAAAACCCATTACTGTTGAGTTGACTCCAACTCATGGCGACCCAGTGTGTTACAGAGTGAAACTGTGCTCCATGGGGTTTTCTTGGCAGTTACTTTTATGGAAGAAGATCACCAGGCCTTTCTCCTGTTGGCTGGATTTGAACTGCCAACCTTTAGGTCAGTAGTAGAGTACAAACCATTTGTGCCACCCAGGGACCTCAGTGGGAGAAAGAGATCTGCACATCTCAGATGCCACCGCATTAGAGGCCACACTCCTACCACCTAACTCTCCCACCCCATGCACCCTGGCCCCAGCCATACACTTAACTTTATTCTGAGACCAGTTCTACTCCTTCTCCCCAACACACACACAAAGATGGCTGCAAGCACCTGGCCCCCAGCCACAGCCTGGGCCCTGAAAGTCCCAAGGACACAGCTTCAGATCAGGGCCTTAACCTCTGTCAGGATCTGCCTCCTTGCTGGTTCCTGGCTCTCCCTCCCCAACCTGTTCTCCACCCCCAATATACACACACAGCAGGGACATGGGATCCCATAGGCTCCCTAGGTCAGCCAGAGAAGGGGAGTGGAGGGACACACCCTCATCTGCTAGCAGACTTTTCCAGGTGGTCAGAACTCTGAGTCCTCCAAACAACAGCTCCTTCCCCCAGGCCTGGGTGGGGCCTTCGTCCCTGCGGGTGACCCAGGTTTGGCCCAGCCAAAGCCCCAGCCCCCGGGAAGGCACGAGAGAGCATTTTTCCTTCTCCAGTGTCGGTTGTTGATGGAGAACAGATGTGCACACATCTGGCTCAGCAACCCCCCAGCCTTACCTTTCTAGTTCCCCAAACTCTGACTGAGCAAGGAGGTGGGAGATGGAGCCAGAGCCAGGAACAACAGGGGAGAACTGAGTTCTGGATCCTACACTATCAAGGGTCATTGGTAGCAGGTGGGGGGCACTGAGAGGCCCAGGTCCCCTGCCAGGGCACCCAGACTAAACAAAGAAGGAAATGGTCTGAGTGTGAGCTGAGGCTGTCTCCCTCCCTCTTCCAGGCTGGGCTCCTAAAGAGAACAGGACCTCCTCACCTATCCAAGGCAACAAGGGCATGGTTGTTTCGGTTGTTTCCTTAGTAACTACTGCACTAGGCTTTCTTTTGAAAGTTCTCTGCCTCGCCTTCTCCTGCCTGCCCAGAGAAGCCGACACTTGCTAGCACCACACCCCAAATGGTCACCACAGAGATCAGTAACCCCTTGAAGGCCAGGCACGGCTTCTCTCAACCACTCACCTGGAGCTCCTCCAACTTGGTTACCGGCCAGAATCACCCAGGGAGCCGCTTAAAAAACAGCCAGAGGGATCCTGGCCAGACCTGCTGGATCTGTATCTTCAAGGGAGGGGCCCAAGAATCTCTATTTTAACACACAGCACAGGTGCTTTGGGGGTGACTGGCCTGGCCCAGGACCCCCAACTCAAGCATCTTAACAGCAGCGCAAAAGTTGTTATTTCCATTTAACAGGCTGATCATTGAATAGGAGACTGAAGTCCAGAGAGGTTGTGACTTACTCAGAGTCACACAGCACATGAGGAGCAGACTTGGGCTAGAGAACCCATCTGAGGAGACTATGCCCAGGGTCCAATTCCCCATTCTGTCACCTCTGACACACCTCACTCTGTTAGCAGACCAGACCAGGGTTTCCACACTTACCCCTCCGGCTCCGGCTCCTCGCCTCCTGGGGGCTCATCAATGTACCAACTGCCATAAGAGTAATCCTCCGTGGTACTGGGGGTCTGGTTTCCTGCTGTCTGGGACGACATTCTCTCGGATCTTTGCCTTTGACCTCCAGACAAAAGAAAAAAAGCCACTACAGATGTGAAAAGAGGTTTAAAAAAAAAAAAAAAAAAAAACCTAAACAAAGAAACGTTTCTGTTAATCCTAAAGTTACTTTCTTGCTTTTAGCCTCCTGGGAAAAGCCAGTCTGGGAGTGAGGGCCTAGGCAGGCTGGCATTCGAGGAGAGGATGGGCCTCTCATGTCCCCTCCCGTCCCTTCCTGCCAAATTTCTGCCCGGTCCTGAAGAAGCTAACTACACCCCCTTGGGGGCTCTGGCTGGAGCATCTGTCTGTCTGTCTGTCTAACCCAAAGGAGATTTTCAAAGAAAATCCAAGATTTGTGCTCTTTCCCCTCCCAAGCCCACCCGGATGGACGCACAGACACACTCCTAAGGGAGAACAGGGAGGAAAGAGTTGCAGAGATGAAAGGGTGGGCGGGCTGCGGGCGGGCTCAGGAAAGTCCAGCCAGGCCCTCTCAGCTGGATGCCCCACTCCCTCACTCTTGGGGTCCAACCCAAACCCCCTTGGTTTGGGCTCCTTTGAGACCTGCCTCTCTCTGGTCCCTTTGGGTATCAATGATGGGAAGATATCACAGTCACTGACAAAGCCCCTTTCCTGAGAGAGAGGGGCCTAGCATCATTGGTGCCCAAATCCCAGAGAGGTGTGGCCAGAAGGGCCTCCCTTCCTCCCACACCTGGTTGCATATACATACCTGCTCCAGCTCCTGCCCAGAAAATTCCACACCTGCCCACCACATCTGCAGTGACCCCCACAAGTTCAGCATTCCAGCAGCCCAAGGAGACTGCTGGGGCTGGACTGGGGGTAGAGGCAGGGAGGGGGCCTGTTCATTCCTTCTGGGGTTTCCATGAAAGAGGCAACATGTGTTTCACTGGTAAAACCTTTTTGTTTCTCCAACTCGATTTCACAAGGAGATAACTCACCCCCACAAGGCGGAAATCAGTCCTTTAAACAGAATCCAGATCCACGGATAGGCAAGAAGGGCCCTGCCTGACTCCTGGCTCCTCTGGGGTATAGGATAAGGATGAGGAAGATGAAGTCTGGTAAGGGGAGGGTGGCTCCCCCACTTCACTCCCCTGAGAAGCTGGATCCCTGACCAGCTCCCCTCCCTGTCCCTGGACCCCAGCCCAGAAGGAGGGGCAAGATGCAGATGAAGGCAAAGAGCAGTCCTCAGGTCCTAATTCTTGGGCTCCTGGCCCCTAATGAAGGGCCTGAGCAGTGGCCTTCCCCACCTAAGACCTTCATTTAACAAACTTTTGTTTTGTTTTCTTTTAATATTCATTCATTTATCCCTTCAGCATAAATTTATTGAACATCTACTACATGCCAGGTACTATTCTGGACACTGGGGACATGAAAGTTTATAGTTCAGCAGGGGACACAGACAAGTAAATAACCTCAAGAGCCCAAGGAGATGAAGGGGAGGCACAGGGTGCCATAGGAAACCTGACTTGGTCTGAAAGAATCAGGAAGGCCTTTCTGAAGGAAGTAGCCTTTCAGATCTGAAGGGCAAAGGAAAGTCAGCTTGAGTAGGAGGTGGAGGGTTGAGGGTGCAAGTGAGGATTGAAGGTAGGGAAGCATGTTCCTGAGAGAGGGACCAGCATGGGTGAAGGGTCAGAGGATATAAGATTGAAATCCTAAAGAAAAAGAGAAAAAAAAACTAGGTAAGGGACACATATTAATTTGGGTGAAGGGAAAGGCAATACACAAATAGTGGGTGACCTGCACAATATCACTAAGGAAAAGGAAGACATGGAGAGGTACACAAGGATGACAGACAACACAGTGATGGCAAACATTGATCTATGGGTGGATAGATGGGTGGACAGGCTGAACTATTAGGTATGTCTATGCAGGGGAGAGTGTGCCCATGACCATGTATAGGGTTGGCAGTCAACATTTCTACAAGCGTATTTTTATGCCCTGTAAGAATTTCCAGGTATATAGTAGAGCTGACAAAGAACAAGGCTGTAGTCACTTCTTGGCCACAGCCAGCTATCCAGAGGAAACAAGCAAGTAGTTGGACCTGTGGACTCAGGACCATGGTTACAGGGGACATCAAGCTCAATCGGCATAACATACAACACAAAAACATTGTTTCATTGGCGGGTAGCAACTGGGATCTTAAAGGTTTACAAGCAGCCATCTAGATGCAATGATGGGTCTCTCCTCATCCAGAGCAAAGAAGAATGAAGAAAACCAAAGAAGCATAGAAACAATGAGTCCAAGTGACTGGTACACCAGGCGATCCTCAGCCTATACAACTATGAGACCAGAAGAACTAGATGGTGCCTGCCTACCACTGTCAACTACTCAGAGGGGGATCTATGCAGGAGATCCTGGAAAAAGAGGGAGAACTATGTGGAACAAAACTCAAAATCATAAAATAAATAAACAAATAAAAGGGACCAGCTTTGCTGGTCTGATAGAGCCTGGTGGAACCCCTGAGACTATGTCCTCTAGCTACCCTTCAGGTCTGGAATTGAACTCATTTCTGTGGCTTCCAGCCAAACTAAAGAGAGGCATATGAGCTGAACATTTACATTAGGTATATACACTCCTTGGAGAGATCAATCGTGAGAGAATAGAAGGGCTGTGTATGCCCAAGGAGACAGCTCAGGGGGAGGGGCAGGAATGCATGGGAGGGAAGGACATGAGGAAGAGGAAACTATGGGGAGGAAGTGGGAAGAGAGTTGTTGCATTGTGGTAAATTGTAGTCAATGTCATGAGACAAAGTGTATGTGAGCTGCTCTATGGAAAATGAATTTGCTATGTAAATTTTCACCCAAATCACAATAAAAATTAAAAAATAAATGATAGACAACAAAGGTAAACACTATTACATAATCCTATATTATCAGTAACAACAAATTAACCTACAAGTGGATACACAGGTAGATAGGCAAGATGATCAGTATGGGTAGGCTAATGGGATTACACCCACAATCATATATAGGTTTGGCAGATGATATTTCTACATATATATTTGTATGTGTTATGTACGGTAATACTCATTTATATGGTAGAGCTAACAGGGGGCAAAATTATGAAAACTTCTTAGTCGTAACCAAACACCTTGAGAGGGTGGGTTGCTGGGTCTGTGAGCTCAGGACCATACTTATGGGGAACATCAAGGTCAACTGGCACAACATAGTCCACAAAGACATTGTTCTACATCCTACTGTGGTGATAGTGACTGGAGTCTTAAAAGCTTGCAAGTGGTCATCTAAAGGGCAACTATTGGTCTCTCTTCTAGAGCAAAGAAGAGTGAAGAAAATCAAAGATGCATGGAAACAATTAGTCCAAGGGACTAGTGAACCACATGAACCTCAACCTCCATGACCCTGAGACCAGAAGAACAAGATGGTGCCGAGTTACCACTGCCAACTACTCTGAAAGGGATCACACAGGAGATCCCGGATAGAGTGAGAGAAAATGTCGAACAAATCTCAAAATAAAAAAATAAAAGACCAGGCTTACTGGTCTGCTAGATACTTGTGGAACCTCTGAGGCTATGGGCCTTAGTCACCCTTCAGGTCTGGCACTGAACTCACTCCCTGAGCTCAACTTTCAGCCAAACAATAGACAAGCCTGTGAGATGAACAATACCACCAGGAAGGTACGCACTTAAAGAAATCAAACATAACAGACCAAAAGGGAAGCATTTTCCTAGGGACTAAGCTCAGAAGGCAAGAAAGGATAGGAAAGAAGGCCAAAGGGAGGAAGATGGAAGAGAAAGAAAAAAGAAAGAAATACTAAAGTCTCCCCATCCAAAATCCATAGCCAGTCCCAGAAGGCTTTCTAGGATTAGGACTTGAGCACTTCCTCCCCCTTCTTTTCCAATAGCCCCTCTTCCAGGAAGATGGTTAGCTGACTCAGAGCCGAACCTGAACTTTATTTGATGCCAGGCAGGAACCCAGACTGGTTGCTTGGCCCAGGGATTGCAGATGAGACCAGGCCTGGCTGTGAGCTCCCTGTAGGCAAAGCTGTCTTATCTTCTCCTCCCTCTCCCCCTTCCCCTATCACTGTGCACATGGTGTCAGAGGGATTTTATATATTTGGTTAGGCAAAGCCATTGTTTACTCTGTTGTTGTTGTTGTTATGTGCCGTCGAGTCGGCCCCGACTCATAGCGACCCCTCCTTGGGTTTCCGAGGCAGTATCACTACGGAAGTAGGATTGCCCAACCTTCCTTCCGAGGAGTGGCTGGTGGGTTTGAACCTCCAGCCTTCTGGTTAGCAGTCAAGTGCTTTAGCCACTATGCTACCAGAGCTCCTTGTTTACTCTAGAGACAGTCATCCCCCATAGGCCTATCCCATCTAGCCCACTGTTCTGACCCTAGGCTTCACCAGCCAGGCTTTCCAGACTTTCTTACTCCAACACCAGAGCCCACCACTCCCTTTCCTGCTCAGTGGTCTCAAACCTTTAGCTCAGTGAGCAGTCAATTCCTATCTCATTTTAAATCGCCCTCATGTGTAGCACAAAAATGGTTTGTGCTTGGCTACTAACCGTAAGGTTGGCTGCTCAATCCACTCAGCGACACTGCAGAAGAAAGTTCTGACAATCTACTTGGGAAGATTACAGCCACTGAAAATTCTATGGAGCATAATTTTACTCTGACACACATGGGATTGCCGTGAGTCAGAATCAGTGGGTTTGGGTTTCATGAAAAAAAACACACACAAAAAAACAATTGCCATCAAGTCAATTCTGACTCATGGTAACCCCATAGATGTCAGAGTAGAACTATGTTTCACAGGGTTTTCAGTGGTTGATTTTTCAGCAGTAGATTGCCAGGGCTTTCTTCTGAGGTACACCTGAGTAGACTCAAACTTCCAGCCTTTTGATTAGCAGCCAATTGTGTTATTTGTCCTATCCAAGGACTCCATCCCCTTGTGACATCGCTAATCACTGGAATCCAGTTGGGATGGGAGCTCACAAGGCAGAAGTGATCCTGGTTGAACATCACTGCCCGTCAGAAGCCACTCCCTTTTTGGAGGGAACCTGACTCTGCCTCCCCCAGGCTGCATTGCTCATTACTTCATCCACAAATATCTATTGAATGCAATAGGGAAAATGTGCCAGGCCCTGTTCTACAGGCTGAGAATACAGTGGTGAGCAAGATGGACAAAGTCCTGGGCTTCGTGGAACTTAA